ACCTCACCCCACTGCTCAGGACTTACCCACGTCTGCTCCTTCAACAGCTTCCCCTTGCACCCCCCATCCCAGCCCACTCCAGGGTCCCCACACCAAGCCCCGGAGGGGAGCACACGACTGCACTCCTGGCGTCCCCTTTTCCCTCAAAGCAGCTCCAATTCACTGCAAGACCCAACCTGCCAGAGCCCCTTCCCTGCCACCCACTCACCTGATGTCAAACCGCAGCAGCAAGGCAATGAAGATCCCTGCGGGGAGAAGGGGACAGTCAGGGGACAGCAATCGGAGAAGGGGACATTGAGGGGATGGAGGCGCCAGGGAAGGCAGAGCAGGACCCGCAGCGGCTCCGGGTGCTGTGCCTGGGCTGACAGTGCCCTCTGGTGGCACAAGGCACCGGGACAGCACCCGGCCCTGGTGGGACACCCCAAACCCTGGTGGGACACCCCAAACCCTGGTGGGACACCCCAAACCCTGGTGGAAGCCTGCTCAGACAGGCGATCCCGGTCACGTCCCCCCTCTCTTGTGTCCTCACCTGGAATGACAATGTCTCCCAGTCCCAGCATGGCAAAGTTGTCGGCCTCCAGCCCCTTCTCCAGCAGGTCCTGAGGGAAAACCACTGCAAGGAGCACAGAGAGCCACAGTGAGGGGTAATGTCTGTGTTGAGCAGACCCCAGCACCGCTGTGTCTGGCCAAAATGGACTGGAGCAGGGCAAGAGGCCTGTTCCTGCCCTCAGTCCCCTCCTCCCCTGCAGCTCCCCTTGTTCTCCTTCCTGGAACATCTCCAGGCACCAGGATGAGAAATCAAGGGGTTCACAGCCAGCCCCATACACAGGTTTCAACCCCAACTCCCAGGGCACAGACCACTGCACACTCCACGACATCACAAATTCACCCCTCCTGCTGTTTTTCGGGGTCTCTGGGGGTTTTTTCCTATGAGCAAGGTGAAATTGCCCACTCAGGGGGTGCAAATTAACCCAGGGCTCTGCAAACTGCCCCTTCTCCAGAGACCCGGCCCAGCTCCCTGCAGGTGGGTGCCACCACGCAGCAGTCTCAGGGTCACCAGCAGTGAACCCCCCTGCACACACCCCACCTGAGCCACCTCCAAAAAGCAGAGGGAGCACAGGGCAGCGACGCAGCAGAGCGGCTCAGCCCCTCCTCCAGCACACAGAGATCCACTCACGTTTTATCGGGGCCTCAAATGATTTGGCAACTGTCACCATCACATTGGTGCCAAAGACCTAGGGGCAAACAGAGGAGCCTGGGGTGAGCACAGCTGCACGGGGACACAAACACACTCAGCTATGGCATCACCTCGGGGTGTGGAGTGGCTGCAGTGGCAGAAAACAAGGTCATTTATTGGTACTGCGCTGTGAGCTTTAAATATTGGCATCGTCCGGGGCACGGGCTGTAAACACATAGGTCAGCCACCCTCATTTCTGCTCCTTTCCATCCCCATGCCTCCAGTCTTGGCTATACCAGCCGCAGGCACATGAACCAGGGGCTGGTTAGCACCAGGTGAGCAAGATCCTAGAGCTGGGGACTAAAGAGGAACCTTAGAGCAAGCACTGGGCATCAGATTAATTCCTGTAAGGTGCTGCAAGCCACAGAGCGACAGGACTCCACACTGGGACTAGGGAAAAGCCTCACGTGCAAATTCACCCCACGACTACGCAGGGGGCAACATCACGGATCCACTGGGCAGTTCTTCCTGCTTGAAACCCTCCTTGGCTCTCACTGGGATGAAACCCAAGTGATTGGTCATTGCAGAGGGGCACATCAAGGTGGCCTCCACTTCAGGACAGCCCCTCTGTGAGGCTCCAGTGATCCCTGACCTCCCGGGGAAACTGAGGCAGTGGACACAGAGAGCAGCGAGGGTCGCGCTCTCAGCCTCAGAAACACCACGAAGACGCTTGCACCTCGAGCAGGGCGTGAGGCACCGGGTGTGCTAAGCCAAAAGGCTGAACCCTCCCCAGCTGAGAGCAGTGGAGGAAGTGGCCCACAAGCTAACGAACCACAGAGCTGAGGCTGTTAACGAGCCTGCGAAACAGGGGCTGCACTGGCCAAGTATGAAATAACACACAGTAGCCAGGCTTGAACAGGGAAGGATTACTCAGGCAGCTGCAGAGCTGCTGGACAGACCTCAAGGTACACAAGGTCTCAGACATCTGGAAACCGAATAATTTGGAAGGTGGAGGCAACAGGAAGGACTGGGGAATGTGGACGTTACAAGGAGAAACGGGCCCATTGCAGAGAGAGAAGGAAAACCTCGAAATTAAGATGTTGGGGCACTGCACCAGCTGAGGGAGAGAGACTGGAGGCAATCCAGCGTTTGGGCCTCTGTGCAACGTCCCTGCCAGCCCTGGGCTCGCTAAGCCGGAGATTAGGAGAAAATGCATCTGCTGAGCCATGTTCTGCCACTGTTCGATGCTGTCATCGCCCCCACCACACCCCTCTGGGCTGAGAAAGTGGAAATCCTGACTGCGAGCGCGTGTCCAGAGGCGTCACCCCACGCACAGGCCTCCCGCCGACCGCTGCCATCGCATCTGCCCCGGGGAACGCTCCCCTTTACCCAGAAGACATCGTAGATGAAGAGGCCCCCGAGCAAGATGCAGCCAGTGCTGACGTTGTTCAAGTGCAGCAGCTCCACCCCGTTGAGGGAGAACGCCAGCCCGAAGAGATTGTTGGCGATCCAGTGCTGGCAACGACAGGAGAAGGAGATTTGGGTCCCACTGCCATGGCCTCAGCCTGTGGGAAGGGGCCAGGTCTGATCCAGCCCTCCCTGTGATAGGGTTGTGGCTCACTTACCTTCCTCAGCAGGTACCAGACCCCCACGACGCTGCTCAGCGCCAGGCAGACCAGATCCTTGGTGTCAAACTCGTAATTCACTATTTCTGCGATGAAACAGAGGAGTCAGATTTTTGGCCGGCTCCCTTTTCCACCCAGGGCAGAGCCGAGCGACTCCACAGCTGGGGAACACCACAGACCACAGCGCTCGTGCCCCAGATGAGGGGACTGTCCCCACAGGAGCAGTCGTGCCCCCATAAACCCATACAAGCTGCATGCGAGTGAGCAGGCAGCCCTGGCAAAGCCTGGACCATCCCCTTCAGCCAGGCTCTGCCCCATGGACAGCATCTGCGATCCTTCTGTCAACAAGGAAATTGGATCCAGGCACCAAGAGGTGGATCTTCTCCCTCTCCCTGCACCAGTTAACTCCTGGTGATACCACCAGAAGAAGTATTCCCTTACCAGTAAAGCTACCGGGCAGGATACTTATCAAAGCATCTTCTACCAGTGCAAAGACTTGAATCAAATCAGTTAAAGCAGCACAGCCAAGTCACCTAAGGAGCTTAAATAAAGGCAGTGCATTTAATAGCAGCTATAGCTTCATGCTGACAGCCTCTGGGAGCTGTTTCTGGGGTTCTGCTGCCAGCCCGAGGCAGCACAGAGGGGGAGCGCCCAGCAGCGCAAGATGCAAGGGCAGCCCCAGCTCTGCAGGGACACGTGGGGCTGACTCTGGCTGCAGGAGCACAGCAGGGAGCAAGAGGAGAGTCTTTGAAAAGGCTGAAAGTCAGAACACCAAGCGAGCAAGAAAGAGAACAGGAAAGGCAGAAAACACCGAGACCCGCAGAGACGGGCGAGCTGACGTACCCTCCTTGCTCTCCCCGGAGCCCTGGGTGAAGAGGAGCTGGTACTGCTTGTTGGGGAAATTCGCAGGGAAGAATCTGTTCATCATGGGGCTGAAACGAGAGGCGCAGAGAAGGGCAGCTGGACACAAAACTGGCTGTGCCACCACCCAAACAGCCCTCCTGCAGAGCTGGGAGAGGGGGCAAAGCCCTTGCCCAGCACCAGCTTAGGGAAAGCAACAGATCCCCAACGCCCCAGAGCTCAGGAAATAGGAAACCAGCTTCACTTTTTCAGCTACTGAAACAGCCCGAGCTTCTGTCACCTCACACCAAGCATCGGCGTGAGAGGCTGGGGATGTTACTGGGGGCTCCAGCTGGGAGTTTCAGCTGTCCCAGTAAGAGGAAGATGGGTGCTGAGGAGCTCTGCCCTCCATGGAGCAGCGAGGTCTGTGCCACGCCGCAGCAGCTCCTTGGGGTGAGCTGGTGGCCACTCACACCTCCATGAGCTCTGCCAGTGATGCTGGACAGGGCACCAGATCACCAGGACCCCTGAGAATTTGGTTCTGCTGTGAGGAAGGGTTCACAGCCCTCTCCGGGCCCTTCACACCACTCTATGAGCTGGGACTCAGCTCTGCCTCAAGGCAATGATGCTTAGAAACCCCCCAATAAACTCAACACCTTGAGAGCAGCCACCCTCGGACACCCCTGCCCCGGTCACAGCCTTCCCTCCGCTGTACCTGATGGTGTGGGACAGGGCCAGGATCCCCAGCACGAAGAAATACATGGATAGCAGAAGATTGATGTACTCTTGAGAGAATATCTGCAAGACAAACCCAGAGAGGGGGCAGTTACCACAGCGTCCTGCCGGGTCAGTGCTTCAGGGAGAAGAATAGCTGGGATAACCCAAATTCTTGCTCCGCTGATGTGAAACATGTTGGGAAAAGCCGCCCGCAGAACAAGCACAACGGGGCCTGCGAGCTGTGGTGCATCTACGAGCTGCTCAGGTCAAAAAATAACTCCTGTGCTGCAGAAAGGAGGACAGAGCTTCCCCCACGTGTCCCTGGCAGAGCAGGGAGTGAGGCTACCCCGGCAGAGGGGAGCAGCAGCACCGCCGCCTCGCTACGGCCCGTCCTGCCCCAATTAAACAGGGTATTATTAGAAATCCTGCCCTCCAACTCACACACACTGCCTTGCTGCTGAATCACACCCCTACAGCCCAGCATGGGGGGACCTTGGGGTGCTCCATGCTCTCTGAGAGGGGGGATGCTGGAACAGGAGAGCTCCTGGAGGGCTGCAGCCATCACATGGAAGAGCCACTGATTGTGCAGTGACTTTAGCAGGGCCACGCTGCACATCCACTGCTGCTTTTCCTGGCTTCTCCATCCCAGCCAGGAGCAAGAGGCAGAAAAGGCACCACAGGAGTACACTGAGACATGGGCAATGGGGAAGGCATGGGCTGCAGGGGTCCTTCCAGCAGCCAGAGGGGCCCAGCAGCAGGGTCTGGTGGCTGCTCTGTACCCCAGGTGCTCAGCTTTGCTTCTGGTGACCTACAAGGGGAGCTGCAGCCCCGGCGAGCACGCAGAACGCGCTGCATTGCTGGGAAAGCAGGGCACGCTGCGAGGGAGGCCTGATCCTGCCCGCTGCGGCAGAGCTGAGCACCGTGGCTGCGCAGGCTGCAGCACACGCTCACCTTCCTGGTGCAGCCGCAGCACAGAGAGGTAAGGACTTGAGGCCTGTAACGAGTGGAGTGCCCCAAG